CTAAAATAAAGACTCCAGCGGGCTTACTGAAGGACAACCATGTCCTTGTCGAGAATGACCATGGCATGTGCGAGTTACTGGGATCGCAGTTTGATTCAGTTTTCAGTAACCTCCGTTCTACTCAAGGGAGGAGAATGATATCGAAGTTCTCCAGGAGCTGCCAGGTGGAAGGGGGTTGGAGAACATTGAGTTTGCACCAGAAGATATGAAAATAAGTATCAAAGAACTGGCGAAGTTCTTAGCACCAGAACCCGATGGAATTCCGGCAGTGTTGTTGAAGAAGTGTTTTGGAGCAGCGAAGGCTCTGCTCACAATGCTCTGGAGTGCCTCGATGATGGAGGGAATTATTCCTGAGGGCCTAAAAATGGGGCTGATAACGCTAATCCACGAAGGAGGCTAGAAGAACAGACCTCAAAATTACAGACCGGTGACCTTGACCTCACAGGTGATCAAAGTTTTTGAGAAGGTAGTGGCCAGGAGGCTTGTCCAGTATATGGGAGAGGCTGAACTGTGTAATAATGGACAACATGGTTCCGTGCGAAATCGTTCCTGTTTGTCACAGTTACTGGAACACCATCACCGCCTAATGGCCCTACTCGAGGAGGGAGCTGGCGTGGATGTAGTATGCCTGGACTTTGTTAAAGCCTTTGACAAAGTTGACCATGGGATGCTCTTCAGAAAGCTGAGACTATTGGGAGCAGGAGGAAGCCTGTTGAGGGTAGGAAGGTGGCTCCAAAACTTCCTTACAAATAGAGTACATAAGCTGTCGCAATTGGAAACTCGAACTCGAGAGAAGCGAGGGTGAAAAGCGGAGTGCCACAAGGCTCAGTGCTTGGCCCATTCGTCTTCCTCGTTCACATCGCCTATATCGACTCGGAACTCACCCACGCATCTACATCGTCATTTGCGGACGATTCAAGAGTGCTGAAGAAGATCACAGATGACATACGTAGCCTGCGAGAGGTTACAGGATGACTTGTCGACAATCAATGTTTGGGCCCTAGTGAATAAGTGAATAATATGCAATTCAACGGCAAAAAGTTCGAAGTAATGATATACAGAGTTGGCCACAGAGCCCGGGATGCCACATCGCTACTTGGCATCGGATGACACAGAAATTGAGGAGAAGCAACTTGTTCGAGATCTCGAAGTGTTGATGAGTACTGAAGCTACGTTCGATGCCCATATCGAGGAAATAGTCGCGCGCAACCGGCAACGGATGGGATGGATATGGCGGACATTTCGAACGAAAGAAGCAGCACCAATGATTACACTCTTCAGAGCCCTCGTGCTCCCCAATCTTGAGTATTGCTGCCAACTTTGGTCGCCACGCAAGGCAGGTGCGGTGCGGAAACTGGAGGCAGTGCATAGGACCTTCACGTACAGGATCAGCGGCATGAGGGAGCTGAATCTGAATTACTGTTGCAACACCTGGGGCTGTACTCACTGTAGAGGAGAAGAGAAAGGTAAATCATACTATACACTTGGAAGATGATAACCGGACTGGCTCCCAACTTTGAATATGAGACCTGCAAAATTGTGATGTATTACAACGAAAAGAGGGGGAGACTGTGCAGGATTACACCATTCAATAACCGAGCCGCGGCCAGAGTACAGACTCTTCGTGAGGGATCACTGTCTGTGGTAGGACCGAGGCTCTCTAATGTCTTGCCAAAGTGCTGAGAGGGTGGGAATTCACTCTTGCGACTTTCAAGAGACAACTGGATAAGTTTGACTTTCTTGCGACTTTCTTAAGACTAGCGACGACTCGGAGACAGAAGACGACTAAAGCGGAGCATCAGCTTGAACTAGGACTACTAAATCCTAAACTCATCACAAGGTCATAAGGTGCAGCGTGCGTGTGGTGCGTACAGCGTGCGTTTGGTGCGTACAGCGTGCGTGTGGTGCGTACAGCGTGCATGCGGTGCGTACAGCGTGCATGCGGTGCGTGCAGCGTGCATGCGGTGCATCAGGTGCTACAAGTGCACCACAACACTCACCCCCCGCCATGCCCCTTACCTCCCCACCCGTCCCCCAGGTGCAGTTGCCATCAGAGCCCCTTACCTCCCCACCCGTCCCCCAGGTGCAGCTGCCATCAGGTGCTACGAGTGCACCCACAACACCCAGCGGGTGAAGCAGCAGCAGCGCTACGTGTATCCATGCTACGCCTTCTCCCCCAGCGACCCCCGCTACGTGAGGGACTGCCCCGCCGCCCCCCTCTGCGTGCACCAGCACATCACGCTGCACCTGCTACACGGTATGCTGTGTAATATTAAGTATGCTGTGTATTATTAAGTATGCTGTGTAATATTAGGTATGCTGTGTAATATTAAGTATGCTGTGTAATATTAGGTATGTTGTGCAGAGGAGTGCAGAGTGCACCGCTTCGGTGCATTGCTTACCATTCGTTTTTTCTCATACCTGGTAAAAGCAAGCCGTTCCTCAAGGTTCAGTTGACCTCCTGGAGATGTCTATACGAACCCAACGTTTCTTCTCATTGTGCCGGATTTTACGTTAATGTACGAGTTTTAGAGGAGGTGGAGAGCAGCGTTAGGACATTATTTTCTCTACCCCCATCACAACTCACACCCCGTCGTGTCACGCACACCCCGTCGTGCCACGCACACCCCGGCGTGTCACGCACACCCCGTCGTGTCACGCACACCCTGGCGTGTCACGCACACCCCGGTGTGTCACGCACACCCCGGTGTGTCACGTACACCCCGGCGTGTCACGCACACCCCGGTGTGTCACGCACACCCCGGCGTGTCACGCACACCCCGGTGTGTCACGCACACCCCGGCGTGTCACGCACACCCCGGCGTGTCACGCACACCCCGGCGTGTCACGCACACCCCGGCGTGTCACGCACACCCCGGCGTGTCACGCACACCCCGGCGTGTCANTGGTGGCACCACGACACACAACACAGCTGTTGGTGGCACCACGACACACAACACAGCTGTTGGGGCACCACGACACACAACACAGCTGTTGGAGCACCACGACACACAACACGGCAGGTCAGCACTAAGGGTCACTGGGGCCGCTCTCTCCAGCGGCGGCCTGACGGCCTTGATCTTCTACCGCCGCACCGCTGCCCTCGTTATGCGGCGACTTTTGTACCCGTCCGCGGACGGGCACATACCGACGGGCGCAGTGATGAGCACAGCGACGGGCGCATAGCGACGGGCGCAGTGATGGGGCACAACGACGGGCGTATAGCAACGGGCACAGCGCACGTCTGCGGCTCAGCAACGAACGGTGTAGACGAGGCCGTCCCTGACGCTGCGGTCGACACGTCGAGGAGCTCGCAGTTCCCCACAACACGCGGTTGCAGTAGTCTAATAGCCTAGCTATATACTCTCGTTAGGATGACGCGGTTGCCGCAGTCCAATAGAATAGCTATATACTCTCGTTAGGATGACGCGGTTGCCGCAGTCCAATATCAAGTCCTAATGTTCCTCACATGCTCTACTGATGAATCCTTCTCCTCCTGTAAATAAGACATCAACTCCTCCATGGCCTGCCCTCCCCCAGGTGATGGTGACTCAATAACGGTAAATAATTCCCCCTCCTTTCCTCAGATGCCGCCCCAACTTCAGGGGAAGTGATCCCAATTACGGTGCGTTTACTCCCCAGGTACCACACCCCAACCTCAGGGGAAGTGATCCCAATAACGCTGCGTTTACTCCCCAGGTACCCACCCCAACCTCAGGGGAAGTGATCCCAATAACGCTGCGTTTACTCCCCAGGTACCCACCCCAACCTCAGGGGAAGTGATCCCAATAACGGTGCGTTTACTCCCCAGGTATCGCCCCCCTTCCTCCCTCTACTGCTACTGCGACACGGACTTCTGCAACGGTCCTCCCCTCAGTGCAGGGGAGCCCAGCCCCACACCTCACTGGGGAGTCGCGCTAGTAACGGTCGGGGGTATCTTGGTGTTGGGCCGGACAAGAGCTTAAACCTGATGTGGGAGAACCGGAGTCTGGAGAAGCTGGTTCTGCTTTTGGAAGAACCGGAGTCTGGAGAAGCTGGTTCGGTTTTTTAAAGAACCGGAGTCTGGTGAAGCTGGTTCTGCTTTTGGAAGAACCGGACTCTGGTGAAGCTGGTTTGGCTTTTGGAAGAACCGGAGTCTGGTGAAGCTGGTTCTGCTTTGGAGAACCGGAGTCTGGTGAAGCTGGTTCTGCTTTTGGAGAACCGGAGTCTGGTGAAGCTGGTTTGGCTTTTGGAAGAACCGGACTCTGGTGAAGCTGGTTCGGCTTTTGGAAGAACGATGAAGCGAGTTCGAAAAAACTCATCTGATGAAACTAGTCCCACTGAACCAGGCCGTGTGGTCCACAGCAGCAGGATTGGTCGGTGAACCGATTCAGCTTCGAATCTTTGATAATACCTGACTTGGTGTTGAGCTGATTGCCTCAACATTTAAGTACTACCCAAATGTTTTATACTTTTGTAACTATGTTACTTATAAATATACTCCTTTATATCCTTCATAAATTGAATAAGCACTTAGCGAACACTACATCAAATCGATGTAGAAGAGGCCACCACGAATAGTGTAGTGAGCACGCAGTATCGTCCAAGTGAGCACAGTGAGCGCATCGAGGACGCAGTATCGTCCAAGTGAGCGCAGTGAGCGCATCGAGCACGCAGTATCATCCAAGTGAGCGCAAAAGACAAGGCGAGCGTGCAGCGTTGATGCACAGAAGGCGAGACGAGCGCGCATGCCATCGCTGGCTGTGATATACGCAAGGTATCATAGAACAATAAACAGTCACTCCTGTAACTGTCTTCTTATTGTCCTCATAACCATCGTCACCTCATTGTCTTCATTACCTTTATAACTTATTCTTCTCTCACAGCAATCATCAAATTTTTTATTATTGCAGACCAGAGCAGTGCTCTACCAGTGTACGATGCACTACCTGCGTACAGTGCTCTACCTGAGTACGGTGCTCTACCTGCGTATAATGCACTACCAGCATGCAGTGCTCTACCTGTGTACGGTGCTCTATAAGGTAGAGGAAGACGACGTCCTCCCTGTGCAGGCGTATGGCGGCGTGCAGAGGGCGCTGCGTCTTGTTCTTCACCATGGCGTAGAGAAGCTGCGCAGACATGTGCGCGAAGTCTGCTGTCGTCAACTCGTCCTGCAACACGCGGTCGCACTTGTTTAATTGATTTTTATTCACAAAGGAGAGCTAGTAACAATTCAAAAGAAAAAAAATATATTTTTTTAAAATAATAGAGACATCCAAGTGAAAGCCCATAAGCAGATACGCTTCGCAGGCAGCAGAGGTGATTTAAAACTCTATTCCAATGATAAGGCAAAGAAGTTAAGAGCAACAGGGGTAATACAAGGTGCGATCTAACAGTATCTCAATATGGAACAGCAATTCTATACAGAGAAGAAATTTATTATCTTAATGTGAAGGGGAACCATTTACCTGCTTTGTAAAGCAATATTATCGAGTCATTTTACACAGTGAACAATAAAAAGCATACATTTGATGGCATCAAGAAGAATGAACGCGTCATTTTCGGTGTATTCCCTAGCCATTTTAGCGACATGATTGGGGATTGGCAGAGGCTTGGTTACGTGGCTAGTTGCATAGAGAAGGCAGACACTTGTGAGCCAATCAAGGTAGTAGGCAATTACTAAAGGGATGAGCTTTGGTATGTGATCACGGTTTAGTGAAGCACCGGACGTCACTAACTCACTACATTCATCTTGTGATCACGGGCTCCAATATACAGTATATACGTCACTCATTGTACCCACTGAACCCAATCCTATCCCAAGGGCCCACTGGGTCTCTCAGAGCCCTTCTCACTCAAGGGCCAACTGGGTCCCCCAGAACCCTTCTCTTGAGAACCCACTAGAACCTCCAGAACCCGTCCCCTGCCCCGCACGCACCCAGTGGGTGGAGATGAGGGCGGAGCAATGGTCGCGGAGTCGCAGGGCGCCGATCTCCTCAGCGGTGGAGTAGAGGCGCACGCAGCTCCTGACCGTGACGCGGGACACCATCTCCTCCTCACACCTGGGGAGGAGGGGCAAGCTTAGGTGGAGGAGGCCTGGGTCTATACTTTCAAAAAAAGTTAAGAGATCGTAAGTTCACCAGCCAATCATTGACGGCCAAAAAGCAGATAAAGCAATCATAGCAAAATCATTCAAGCAAAATCAAGCAATCATAGACAAGAAAATGGAGCGTAAGTACTTACGTTCACTTAGCGAGTTTTGAAAGTATGGCCCTAGGACAGTGGAGGGACACACTACTTGGCAAACTTATCAACACGAGTGAACCAGCGCCATCCTACACACTAGATAGTGTGTGTAAGATACACACTAGATAGTGTGTGTAAGATACACACTAGATAGTGTGTGTAAGCCGGCTCACAGGCTGGGCTCGTGGAGCTGTTCTATGAGAGCTTGGGATGCTAGTGAAGGATGGAGGACGCTAGTGAAGGAATGGAGGACGCTAGTGAAGAAATGGAGGACGCTAGTGAAGGAATGTAGAACGCTGGTGAAGGAATGGAGGACGCTGGTGAAGGAATGTAGGACGCTGGTGAAGGAATGGAGGACGCTAGTGAAGGAATGTAGGACGCTAGTGAAGGAATGGAGGACGCTGGTGAAGGAATGTAGGACGCTAGTGAAGGAATATAGGACGCTAGTGAAGGAATG